TGGGATGTAAATCATATGGACATTCAGAAAGCTATTCCCGAACGAGACCGCTCTGGCTGAGGTCATGGACTTGCAACAAAACCATGGAATGCGATTGGTCGAAGATGTTCCAGAATGGTTGGCCATTGTTTCATGGAAGTTTCAGTAGCAAATACTTAACTAAACAAAAACAATGCGTCGATGACCATTGGGAACTTGTCTTGTTTCTTTTGGCAGATAAATAGCAAAAAATAGGCTTACTGATTTATGTATGGTTTTTATAGTAATATGTGAGTAATTATTGATGTTTCAGCATGAAGTTGTAGCCCAACTCATGATCGTTCATTGCTCAAAAGATGATCTCATTTGTTTGAGCAATCGAGATGCCAGACTCCCGACAAGCTAGCGCAATGGCCATTGACGCGCCATTTTCGTTTAGATACGTATTGCCTTCTGAAATTTTCAGAAAACAATGACCCACCATTCTAAAATACATTGTAAAAGTTTCAAGATGAATCCACCAAATTCTGATTGAGTTATTGATCGTTCAATGGTATTTTATGGTTCTATTTTGTATATTCATGTTGTCAGCGAAACGGGCCTAGTTCGTCAACAGCTTTCTGAACTTCGATATAACTTATGCCATAAATAGCTACAATGCAGACATACAAAATGAGAGATTGGATGACTTGAAAAGCTTATCTGTTCTTGAGTTACGAGATTCACAGTGGCGGTGTATACCGTCTATTATAACTTCATTCTAGTTTCAGAAATTTTGATGCTGATGTTATCGCTGGCCTACATTATGTGTCAACTACCTGCAGAAGAATTTTCAGACGTTTTGCTTTCATAGAGATTAAGATTTGAGGTGGTATGACATTTTTGGCCAGTAGTGTACATTTCATATGTTTCACCCACTAACCCTCACTCTTGTCTATTACTATATGCGATTTACAGGTCATTGTGAGCGGTTATTCGCTGTTAAGTTATGGTTTCTTGCGTTATTATAGTTTACCGCTGGTCTTGACATACATAGTGGTGTACCGCTAAAACTGATCCGAACTTTGTGACATGGATTATTAATCGATAACTTAGATTCTATCAAAAGAGAGTCGATGAAAATCAAAATTTTTATTGAATTTAATCAAAAAAGTGCCATGTTTAATTGGTTTTTTGTAATTGCTGTTGATGACGAAATCAGTGAAGGAAATAGTTAGGTTTAGTATACCAGATGTCAGCACTATAATTTTTTCATTAATCCAAGTTGCCTTTTATGTTTAGTTCTGTATGATATTCTTTAAAAAGTTTCAATTTAATCGATTTACCATACGCAAAGGAAAGTTTTCACAATCATGTTTGTGTATTGAGTAAATTTTAGTGTTAATATTTCAAGGATCTTGTTTTAAGGTGCATTATTCATTCATCATGCTGACCATCATTTTTTTGTGTTTCGTCAGCATTTTCTTTTTACTTGCAAACAAGAAAAATGTTATCTATTTTATTCTCATATCTTTTATGATATTGACGCCTATATAAATATTGGTATTGGTGGTTACTTTCTGTTTTATATTTTTTTCTCTTACATATATAAATGTTGGTTCACTATTTTGTTGCTTTTTTTCTATTATCCGCTATTCATTTAAATGTCTACGCTCTCAAATCGTATTCACAATATCAATTATGGCGTTTAAATGTTACAAATAATGAACAAGTCGCTAAATTACATGATTTCAGTCGTATAGCATATCAACAGAATATTAACTTTTGGTCTGAAAGATTCCGTAAAAATATTCCGGTACATTTTACATGTCAAAGGGTTTTGGTTATCATATCTGTATATTTCTTTCTTTCTTTCTTTTAATTAGATTGATGTTAGTATAGCACCTGAATCTATTAATAGTTTTGCTAAATTTTTATCATCAGATGATATGAAAATACAATATGATGTTATTATGAAAGATATTGGTGCTGTTATTGAAAGACAAAAATTAATTGATAAATTACAACCATCATCTGTATATGCTGATGATTTTGCATATGATAAGTATCATCCAATTAACGAAATTGATACATGGATTGATAAAATGGTTCAAACATATCCAACATTAGCAACATCATTTACAGTTGGAAAATCATATGAAAAACGTGAAATGAAAGGTTTAAAAATATCATCGAATAAAACAGCAGTTAAGCTTGATGGTACTCCAGTAAATGAAAAAAAGGCTGTTTGGTGGGATGGAGGTAAACAATGAGGTTATTTCATTCTATAAGAATTGTTTTGAAAATATTTTTCTTCAGGTATTCATGCTCGAGAATGGATTAGTCCAGCAACGGTTATTTATATTGTTCATGCTCTTTTATCAAATTATAGTAAAAATCCAATAATTACACATTTCGTCGATCAATTCGATTATTATGTTTTACCTGTCTTTAATGTCGATGGTTATGCATATACATGGACCAATGGTAAAGTAGAAAATCATAGAGAATTTTTTGGAAACAAATGTTGCTTTTAGATCGATTATGGCGTAAAACTCGAAGTAAAACATCAGATCCTAATTGTTTTGGTGCTGATCCAAATCGTAATTGGGATTATCACTGGTGTGAAGGTAACTATTTTTATTTATTTATTATTTATTCTTGTAAATGATTCTAATGATGTTTGTACAGGTGGTGCTACACATGATCCATGTGATGAAATTTATTGTGGTAGTAAACCATTTTCAGAAATTGAAACCGCACAAGTAGCAAAATTTATTGGTACTCATAATAGTACATTAGTACATTACATTAATTTTCATTCCTATTCACAATTATGGATGACACCATGGGGTCAATATTAACATTTAAATTATTATTTTTATGTTTTTCTTTTTTACTTAATTATTTTTCTCATTAGGTTATACAACAAAAAAACCAGTACAATTTAAATTACAAGATGATGGATCGGCTAAAGCTGTTCAAGCACTTCGTGCTGTTTTTGGTGAGTATAATTGTAAAGTTTTGATATAAAATAATTTTTTCTTCAAGGTACTGAATATGTTCATGGTAATATTGGTGCAACTATTTATGTTGTATAATTATTCAAAAATAATGAATTTAATTTGATGAAAAGAAATTGGAAATACAGTGTAAAATAAATATGAAATATATGAATAACTTAAGCATCAGGAAACACAGTCGATTGGACATCGGGTACAGCTAATATAACATTTAGCTATGCTGTAGAACTTCGTGATACTGGTAAACAGAATACCTTTTTTATTTTTACTTGAAAAAGAATTTTATTGAATTATTTGTAATTAGGTGAATATGGATTTTTGTTACCAGAAGATCAAATTGTTCCAAGTGGAAAAGAAACATTAGCTGGTGAATTAGCATTATTGAAATATATCGAAGGAAAAGTTTATGCTTAATATTCACAAAATTAAAAAAACAAACTAATTAGCCATTTTCTTTGTCTTGTGAATGAAAACTATTTATAACATTATTCTTTTTTATTGTCATATTCAGCAATGATGAAGGATATTATATTATTTTTCATTGTTCATAATCGTAATAGATATATTGATGTTTGATTAGAAAGAAAAAAATATCATTATTACAAATAACATTGTTAGATCTAGGAAAGTAATTAATTTCGTTTTTATAGATAAATATGTTTATTTGCTAATCAACGTGACAAATTTTCTATATTCATTTTTCTCATTCCTAAGCCATATGCAAATATCGTAAATTGTTATTGCTTCGTCATTAAAACGAGCATCACCTGAACTGCACATTTGTATATGTATTCAATGTCATATACATTTTTTTTTTACATGGAAAGAAGAAAGACAAAATAGAATAAACATTCTATTGCATCGAGTGTTATAATTCTTTACTAAGACATTACTAATAATTACTTGACAAAGACGTAGAACTTTTTTTTTGTTTTTGAAAAGTATAATATATTGAAATATTGAAATATAAATTAACAAATGAATAGTGAAAATCTAATCGTCGGAGAAAATTAAATGGAGAACATGTCGATCAAAAATTGATGGAAAACTTTGGATTTTAAATGTTTTTTAGCTCCTTATAGACCATTGTACTTTCTAATAAATAAGAAACAAATTTTACATAATGAATCTTTATGATGCAATAGTAATAACAAAACTAATACCGAACTTTAGTCTCATCTTTAAACAATCACTAAAACTTCCATATCTCAGACCACTATAACTTGTAAAAGCAAATATTGATTTCATAATTTCAATGTCACATGTGTGTTCTAATTTGTACTTCTTATGTCTTATTAATTTGCCTGTTATTTTTATAAGTTTCAAGTATCTCATGAAAACTTGTGTTCGACCTAGAAAAACATATTTCTGAAACAAATATGTTTTCTTGGTACAAAAATAAACTCATACAAGCGAATAATTATTCTAGAATATGTGCACAAAAAAAAGTCAATTCGTTATTACGCACATTGATTGCGCGCAGGAACCAATATTGACGAATGTAAAGCGAATTGAAGCGGTTTAAAAGAATATTTACAATAATATCATGCATAAAATATACACAAAATCTGTTCTAGTTGATGTAAGAAACTGGAAATTTTTGATTATTCAGGGGAAAGGGTATGCGCTCCTCCACATACACACACTTCTGACGGTTGCTGATTGCTTACAAGAAAGACTTAGAACAATATTCTCATGCACTACTTATTCAAGTGTTTCGTTTCATTTTTAATAATGTTTTTACAAAAAAAGAAAATGCTAGAACATTTATGACTTCTCAATATATTTAACTCATAATCCATTGTCAGCATTTATATGTCATCTAAAATTTTGTTAACCGAGAAAAAATACGCCTTCAAAAACAACTATACAAATAAAACTTCTCAACAGTGTCATACTTATAATGCACATACTACCATATTTCTTTCATTGTTCTGTACGTGGATTATATTACATAAATATTTTTTATAGTTTACAAAGTTTGATCATTTTCATAAAAAACAAATTCATATCTATAAAATGGTCGATGTAGAAAAACGATATCTTAATAAACCATGGTATGTAATAATTAAGACATTCAATCTTGGTTATGTAGCTATACTATGAAACAAGATTTTTTTTTTCTTTATTATTAGGTTGATTCATGATGAAGCAACAAAAATCAAAGATCGTTTGTATAATACTCATCTTCCTCCTGTAAAACCATCTGGTAAACACAGTGTAACAGCTAAACATCGATTACCTCATCAATCAAAACGAGATGGTTCTAATTTTCTTCCAGCATTAACAAACGGTAGTTCACCAGAATCAAGTTTAGTCAATGGTCATCAAGTATCATCAACAACATTTGCATATAATTCATCAGGACATGAAGCAGCTAACCGTTATATATTACATAATAATAATAATAAAAATAATATGGCAAGATTTTCTCAAGAACTTTCATCAATTCATTTCCCTAATAGTTCTCAAACAAAACGAAAATCACTTTATAATCATATTCAATCAAAAATTAATACTGGTTTACCACATATAGGTAGTAAAAATTCATCAAAATCTAATAAATATCAATTAGAGCCTATTCGTCCAGTAAATTGGGTTGAATTAAAAAATGAAATTGAACAAGATATACATATATATGCACATACGAAACAAATGCAATTTAATTCTGACAATACATATAAAGCAAAATTAACAACATTGGGAAATCTTGTACGTTCAAAAGTTAAATCTCATTTATCATCTTCAATAGGTAGTGATAATGAACGATATAAAATTGTTGTTAGTCTTACTGTTTATTCAAAAACTTCTTCTGGATTACATGTTGCATCAAGATGTTTATGGAATACATCAACAGATAATTCAATAACAATTAAAATGCAAGGTGTTGATTGTAATATTATTATCGTTGTATTTCTTTGTTATACAGATCTTGGAGTGATATAAACTTGAAATTTTTTTTTTCTCTTGTATACATATATTACAAATTCGTTTTTTTCTTTTAATAAATTCTGATATAAACCGAATCAATGCAGTCTTCATATTTGATGCACCAATACAAATGACAATTATTTATTTGATTTGTCAAACATTCAAGTTTTAATAAATTTAAAAGTTAATTGAATCATCAATTATTGTTTTCTTTTTGAATTTCAGTTGTTGATGTACATAAATATTTTAGTCGATACGAGAAAAAAAAGATTTTATCTAATTATTTACTATTCAAATAAAATTTGTCATGTACACCTTAATATATTGGTTATATTTGTTGAGTTTTACACTGGATTTATATGTAGAAATATTCTTATATAAATCCTAAAAATGTAATAACACTAATCAATAAACAAAAAAAAACTAAAGAACATTTTAATCATTTTTTTATTATTATTATAACATTTAGAATAAGAAAATAAATCGTTTATTCAACTGTAAAAGAAGATAATTATGAAATCAATATTTATGCATCTTTATGAATAAACATATTTATCGACACTACATTTTCCAATGGTAAAACGATCATATCATATTCTATTTCCGTCTGTGTTTATCTTCTTAATTGTCGATATTTATAAGATTATTGCTATGTTAGTATTACCGTATGTGTATAAGAAAATTTTTGACTTTTTTATATTTTTCTATCTTAAATATTCTTATGTAAAATTGCATATTTTGTTATTTTGTTTTATACTTCGTTATCTACAATTAATATTTATTCAACAAGAAAGATGTTCTACTTTTATTTATTTCAAAAAAAAAACAAATAAATGATCAAATACGAGTTAATGCTTCAATACCAAGTAATTCAAGACCTTCTTTGAGTGATAGACGGCACATATGATAAAGTAACAGACGAGCCTATAAACATTATGATAGACAAATATAGTAATAAAAAAAAACGGAAATTAGACTTACTTTAGCTAATTCAAGTTCTTCATCTTTAACGTAAAGTCTAGCAAGTGCTCGATTTATAGATTTGCTATAATAAGGAAAAAAAAACACGTTGAAAAACGATCTTTCATTCTCTTTATTTGATCTCCATGTATATGTCTAATAGATGACATGTCTGTCTTTTTTTTTTGAATAACCAGGAGCCGCGAAAGCGGTGGGGGAGGGGGCAAGGTGTGTGGGGAGTGTACACCTCCCCCAATAATGGGAAATTTTCAAATTTTTCCAATAATAGAAATGAATTTTTTGGACTTTCTATCAAATTTTTATGAGGTTTTGTTGGAAAAAGTACCTTTGCACCCATCCCTCCCCCAATCTTCGTATCCTCGCGCGATCTCTGCAAATAACATTATGAAGACAGATGTAACTAAAACTTGTTTTTCAAATTATTTTTTTTCGATGAATGTCAACCAATATGTATCCAATAATGTACGTATATGACAAAGCAAAAGAAAAATAAAAAAAGAAGACAAACGATGCTTAACTTCAATAAAAAAGTGTCATCGAGATTATCATAATTAATAGTATTTTTCTGTTTTTTTTTTGGTATAATTATCGATGTCTTGAAAAAAAATGCTAATATGAAAAACACAAGAGGAACTCTTTTCAACGGAGAACGACAAAAAACGTGCGTTATACAAAGAAGATGAGATCACAATAATAATGATAATAACAACAACACCCATTAGCAGTTATAAACCAATGCGGTAGGCAAGAAAACAGACGGACAACAGCATAGGACGATGTTGCCAGATAAAGAAAATGTCATTCATCATGTCAATCAGTTGGTCTGCGGCGAAAAGAAAGACGAACAGAGAACAGAAAGACCTTGTTGTACGATAAAGTTAGTACTTAAACTGTCCCTTTTTTTTTTGTGTGTTCTTTTTTTCTCTAAGAGCTACGATTTTCTTAATTATTATCATCAGAACATAGTCGGTCTTTTTTTCTTCTTTCTGTTACTTGTTCGCGTATAATACTCTATTCCTTACTCATATCATTGTGTTTTATTTGTGGAACTTATCATTCATGGCATCATCAGACTCCACTGGCACTGCTGCTTCATCGCAAAATTCAGTTTCCGGCCGAATGGACGTTGTTTCACTTATTGTTCTTGTCTCTTATCCAAAACATTATCGTATATTTGCTGAGAAAGAACTTGTTCTTGAAATACTTCCACATGCAAAGGAACCAGCATTTGTTTGGTTTGGAAATTATTCAGCTGAAAAAGATGAACATCCACTTGTTTATATGGATGTTATAGGTCGAATGATTCGTTTAGGTTATCAGATATTAGGATCAACTGGCGGTGGTGGAAACCCAGCCATTGGTGATAATATGGCAACACATACATCACATTATATTTTTATTCGAAAACGAGAATAAATGAACTAATTTTCATTTCTTTTCTTTGTTTTTTTGTCTAATGAATCTATCGGTAGAAATCTTTTGTAGAAAACAACAAATACATATTTGTGTTGTCATTTTTTCTTTTCTTTTATTCTCAATTGGTATTGTGTCTTCTTTTTCTATTCCTAATTAAGAATAAATTCTAATGAATTTTAAGGCTTGTTAATTTTATCTATTTAAAGATAGAATATATGATATATATCAAATGATTATATGAATATATATATATGATTTATAGATATATGAAGAAAAAACGAACTTACACAAGACGAACAAGATAATGGACAATTTTGGTTGGTTCATATGAACGATAAGCATCGAATAATACATCTTGAAAACTAGAAAATAAATATTAAAAGAGTGAATAGTTTTTCTTTTTTTCCATTGAACAATAGAATTCACCAATAAAGTCTTCATCTTAATAGGGGCATGTATTTAAATTAATTTTATAATTACAATCTTAATCTATAAAGTAAAATACCTGTCACTCATACGAGTAATTCTTTTTTTGTACAAGAAAAACATCTTTAGCCAAAAGAAATTCTTTCCAGATATTATAAAGCTTTTTCTCTTATATCGATTAAGAATATGATCACTTAGACTATTCATTCACTAAACAAATAACTAGTTATTAAAAAGATTTATTTATTAGACTTTGCTCTTTTATTTAAATAAAACCTCAAGTCGATAAGACATTATTTTATCAGTCAACAAAATACTTCGTATATCATGTCATATGATAACGAGGTGTTGACAGATTGTATCAATAGAATAATGTTCAAATACTTTGATTGATATTTACTATCAAATGACATTGTAAACGTGTTCGATATAATCTTTTCTAGTTTAACTTAAAAGGACGAGTGGTGGTAAGGCCATTTTTCATTTCCAATATTTTTGAAAAAAAATTATATGGTTCGAATCAGCAGTAAATTCTGAACATAGTACGCTATTTTATTTTTTACCAGGATGAAATAATTTTTTTTTGTTTTATTCCAATTTTGGTGATCTATAGGTTATCGATATTGCTGATCATGAATATCATATTGATTTTGCTTCAAAAATGCTAGAAGAGATCAAAAAACGGTCAAAAAGAGTTGACTTCTGAGAGACATTATTGTTGACCTTTTCTTAGTTTTTGACCGATTTTGACCTTAAGAACCGATATGAGACAATAAAAAGATCATTTTGATGAACAAACTTAGTTGCTCTACTCAAATCATACGCAATTAGATCTTTTAAAAAAAAATTATGCTATTCTTTTAGTTTGATTTGAAAAAAAGAAGAAAAAATTGATAATTTGTTTTTTCTTGAGAGATATTTTGTATTATTATTAAGCCTCCATCCCATGAGTTATATACATCGTTCGATGCAGTTTTCTGTGATCTTTCTAAATATGACTTCAAAAATGAGAAAAGAAATGAAGAACATGGTCAAATATAAGAAATATTTGAATTCAAGTAGAAAAGTTCAGAAACTGAGCCTGTATTTCTAGGCTAAGATCATTAAAACTTAATTTTAAACGAAAGTGCATGTCATATTGGGAATTAGTGTAGAAAACTACACCCAGAGACATTAATTTCATCGAAAAATATTTTTCATCGAAATTTCGACTGATGGGGAGTGCAGGCGAAATTATATGAAAGAAGCACTGAGGAGGAATAGGGGTCGAGATTTTCATGAAAAATATTTTTTGATGAAATTAATGTCTCTGGATATAGTTTTCTACGCTAATTCCCAATGTGACATGCACTTTAGTTTAAAATTAAGTTTTAATGATCTTAGCCTAGAAATACTGGCTCCGTTTTTGAACTTTTCTACTTGAATTCTAATATTTCTTATATTTGACCATGTTCTTCATTTCTTTTCTCATTTTTGAAGTCATATTTAGAAAGATCACAGTAAACTGCATCGAACGATGTATATAACTCATGGGATGGAGGCTTAATAATAATACAAAATATCTCTCAAGAAAAAACAAATTGTCAATTTTTTCCTCTTTTTTTCAAATCAAACTAAAAGAATAGCATAATTTTGTTTTAAAGATCTAATTTCGTATGATTTGAGTAGAGAAACTAAGTTTGTTCATCAAAATGATCTTTTTATTGTCTCATATCGGTTTTTAAGGTCAAAAACTAAGAAAAGGTCAACAATAGTGTCTCTCAGAAGTCAACCATTTTTGACCGTTTTTTGGCCTCCTCTAGCATTTTTGAAGCAAAATCAATATGATATTCATGATCAGCAATATCGATAACCTATAGATCATCCAAATTGGAACAAAACAAAAAAAATTTGTTTTTCGAAGGTCTCTCTAGGGGACCACAGTTAAAAATTTTTTTGAAAAAAATTTATTTCATCCGGGTAAAAAATAAAATAGCGTACTATGTTCAGAATTTAATGCTGATTTGAACCATATAATTTTTTTCAAAAATATTGGAAATGAAAAATGGCCTTACCACCACTCGTCCTTTCTATGTAACAGTTGAGAAACTTTTGGGATCGTTCACATACTGTATAATTATTCAATCACAGACAATAATGACGTAATCAAGTGGAGAAATCGTTCCCATCTCTTAAAAAATTGTCAGACGACT